TAACCTAGTAGGTATGTACCGACTTTACTCTGGGCTTTAGAAAGTTGGGACCTAGCCAGTACTTATATTTAAGCGTCTAGAGAAGTCTTAGAGTTCCATATATTACTTTAGTTGTTTCCAAATCTACTATAGTTTCAAAGGTGGTGGTTTACCCTTTCTTAGCATCCCAGATCTATTGAGTGATAAGTCACATCTCTCCGGTGAACTATTTTTCTATTATGTGGCTTAGGTAACTTGTTTTGCTTGTGTAGTAAATGACCGACCGACGTTCTAGGTTGAGGCTCTACCTCATAAAAATGTTTGTGGGATAGTATGGTGTGAACTAATCTGAACATCATTCATGGAAGGCTAGCTGACGTACACTCTCACAAGACCATAATGTCACCAAAGTTTGGGTGATGAGAGCTCCTGTGTGCTGGCCAACTACTTGGTCAACCTATATGTCCCACGCCCCCCTTTCAAAAACGAGTTCAAAGCACAGTGGCCAGCTAGAGACATATTCCCCAAACATGCTATGCCTACCTCTACGGTACAAGTGCCAAAGTGGAAAGGACAGTAGAGACTCTACCTCTACAATACAAGTGCCAAAGTGGAAAGGACAGTGGAGACTCGGATGACATTGTTCATACTGCTAAAAGCCTGAAGAATTACCTTGTCATGCTAGGATGTCAGAGAAGTTTACTAGGTTCTAAGAAGCCTCTAGGTGGTTTAATTCTTGTCTCTCTTTTCTACGACGTTTAGGACTAACTTCTCGAGCTATTCCATAGTTTGGTAACAAACATATCTATACCTCTAATCGTACCTCACGATTCTATGGTGCACAGTCTACTCAAAATGTACTAACCTAGGTCAACTTTTAAACGGCTCTAGTTATAGCCCTAATCTCAATTTCATTCTCTCATGCATGCTTGTAGGCAGATATACCTATTGATCACTTAATCTCAATTTCATTCTCTGAGCTGTCAATGAAAAACCATTTTCAAAGGAAGCACCCGAGATACTTGCCCCACAACCCTTGCTAACGCTATGATACACGTTTCTGCCACAGAATAGCTTTTATATCTTTTTTTTTTCTTTTTTTATTAGATGCATAAATTTATCCCATTGATTTTCAAAAATATTATATGCATAAATTTATTAATTTGGTTTTCCACATATTAGTTTTATTAAATATAGCTTGGTTTTTTTTTTTCTCATACTATTTATAAAATAACAACAACAAATAAATAAATATTATAATTAGTTTATATTTTATATTTTTAAAATTATATTAATATTTTCATACCCTCAAAAGGGATACTTCGTTTCCATCTTCAACCGATGTGGGTTCTTACAGTCCACCCCCGTTTGGGGCCTAGCATCCTCGTTGGAACACCACCTTGTGTTTGACTTTGATACCAACTGTAACGACCCTAGTTTCCTACTGAAATAGAGTCATTACTATATGCATGACGTGATCTTTCTATACGAAAACATTCATTTAAAATCTTTCATAAACGATGTCATAGACTTAAACTTTCGCATTCAAAGCCTTAAAACAAAATAATAAAAAGATTGAATGGGAAATATAAATAAAGTCTAAGAAAAACATTATAATAATGTCATGATCTAATCTAAGATCTACGAAATAAAAATGCTACTATCCTAACACAGGTTTTATGGTCTTCAACGCAACACCGCCTTCACCAGTACAAAGGTGCCTTGTCTTTACCTGAAATATAAAGATAGTTCAAGGCTTCAGTATTTTAATACTTAGTAAGTAAGTGACCCCACTATTGGGGTCAGAAAATGCAAACACATGTAGAATGATGGAACCTATAATTTAAAATCATCTTCTCTTAGGTGGCTTTTCAGTCCCTGAAAATTGGATATATAGTACCCACACGTGCGAGCATGGGCCTACTAGGCAGGCTTGTACACCCCTGGCATGTTCGTCAGGCAAGCTTCTCTGGGTTGTAGTCGAACACCCGGTTGCAATAGAGACCGTCGTTGCACCATGCTAAGTATGATGGTCATTCTCGTCTCATAGTGCACCCATCCACACTCATCACAAAGGAAAAGTGTCCCAATGCATGTGAACATATAAATATGCATGAGTTCTCCATATTTTCATCTGGCATAATAAATCAGGTAGGGGAACCTCATTCTTTCATCATAGTGCATCATGACATCTCATATATTACACAGCTTATCGTAACATAACATAACATTTTATTCATACCATCATACCATTTGGCATAACAAAAAATGACACATTCATAACATCACATCTCATCACAAGGCATGACACACATATAACACGTGCAAGACCACCGAACACATGCCATCATACATGAAACAATTCTTCACTCACATACATCCTAAGAAAATCTCTAGGAGGTTATGGAGTTCCTATGATTGAGTCATCGAAAAGAAAGGTGCACCTTATTGACATATGTAATAACTTTAACTTCTTTTAAGTTTTTCTTAGTCATCATATCTTCGAGATCGCTATCATTCAGATATATCCTTGTTTCATTCATGTTTCCCTCCTTTAATCGGGTATTACATTGAGACTCTTAACTTGGAATAAGTCTTAATCTTTATTAATATTATAATGTTAAGGTCAACCAAGTGAGGATGAATTGATAACCACACTTTGGATTCTACCAAATACATTGACTTCTTTTGTTGTGTGTGAAAATTTTAAAATATAAAACTTGGTCCACGTTTTGCATATTTTAAGAAAACGATACTCGGTCTAAATCACGTGTAAAAGAGGTATCTAAGTCATGCCCTCCCAATATCCAACCTTGCTAAAGTTAAGGTAACGTTGGTTCGTGTGCAAAAAAATTTCCTACCCAATCGAGTTATGTTGTGTGTTCGACATACTAAGTTTTCAAATAAAATTATGGGTTCAAAAATGCAAACACAAGCAATCATGGCAGGTTTTTGTATAAAAACATCATGGCATGACTTTCGCCTCTGTAGTACTTCGGTACTTCGGTATGTAGTACTTCGGTACACACGATCCATGCACGTACATATGGACCCACCATATAGATTTGTATGCGTATCCCCTGGATTTAACTTGTTGGGCTAGCACACTTTTACACTACTGAACATCACGAAGAGAAAGAGTCTGCATAATATCATGGCAAACATAGATAATGTAAGGTATGCATCCATACTAAACATATCAGGGAATTATCTTGATACATGTGTCATACACAATGCATAAGGTCCCATAACATTAAGACGTAGCGTATATTCCCGAAGCTAAACATACATTCATTATTTTCCTAACATGACGCTCCTATGAGACATGCATACTTGGTTCACCATTAACAATGCATAGTTTTCTAATATCTCGAAGGTACAGGACATACATATTACCATAGTTTACAGGGTGTGGTATATGGAGATTCATGCATCAAATAACATTGATATCATAACATAGTTCCACGGCATAATATAATATCTAATATCATAGCATAACTAGTACATGACATAACATATATCATAACATATACATTACATAGTACATGTCATACAATCATAAAACACAACACATGCAAGGGTCACAAGGCACGTGTTGTTTAGACAACAAACAAGTCATGAAATCACTTACTTGGTTGATCTAGGTCAAAGTTACTGATTATTCTTGGAACTAACCTGAATCTCCTCTTCATAATCCAATTCAGCCTATGTGGGCCCACAACTTAAGACTAGAACACATTAAAGAGTTTAGTTTACCTAATGGCATCATTTTAACTTAGCTTAAAATATTTTAAATTGACCAAACAGTAATCATACCGACCTTAAATGCTTACAATAACATCAAAAATGGTAAAAAAATGGCATGAATAGTAAGAACCGAGTCTAAAATAGTTCACTAAAGGAAGCCTCGAGACTACGTTGAGTCTAGCCAAACCAAAGCGCGCTAAACAGGTCAGGTAGACGGGTCAGTCACGGGCTGGCGCGCTTAGTTGAAGTTAAGTCGAGGCGCAAGTCGTGGGTCAGGTTACTAGATCGTGTGATGCTGGTCCAGGATCAAGCTGGTTTGGGTCTAAGAGTTGGGTTTGGCAGGATCTGATGGGTCGCGCAAGCTCTAGGCTTCTGGGATATAGGTGTTACTAGGCTAGGTAGTAGATGCTGGAGTTGAGCTAGCAAGAATGGGTCGCAAGCTGGCTGTGTTTGCTCGACTTCTAAGCCTAGGAAGGTTCGGTCCCGAACCTGTGGTTCAGTGGTCTATGCACCACAGCTAAGGCATGGTTTTTGTCTTGGTCTCGACTCGATGGATTTTTTTTTTTTTTTTTTTCCTCGGTTCACAACAAAACTTTGGCTACTTTTGGTCGATTTTCGAACCCTTACTTTTGGTCGAATCTAGATCCCTTATCAACGGCAAACTCGTGACAATAATATCTTAAAACATAGAGACCAACTTAAATTCCGACCCAAAAAAAAATTGAAAATCGATTTATCCTGTTAGGTTGAATGGAGTTGTGACCTATATGGGTCACGATCTCAGATATATATAGATGTGTATAATGAAGATTGATCAGTAGATTCTCTTACTATGTATAGATATGGCCTATTCTAGTCTGTCATATCGTAATAGAAGAGTTGTCAAGAGAATTGGAACAGAAGAAGTTAAGGGTTTTTTTTTTCCTCTCAAAACGGGTTGCTACAAAAATTAACCTATGTATTCGATGTAACAAATTCATAAAGTTATTTATATTATAAGATCCATTAAATTAAACATTAAGTTAAAATAATGATGTAACATCAAAAACTATAGTATAATATTTCATTATTTTGTGTAAGAGCTTCAAATGTCAACTTCCATTTCATTTATTTAATGATGTTTTTATTAAGATTGCAAAAATGGTGAGATTTGGAGAAGGCTCTATGTGGGGATGAAACATATAAGCCTGTTCTCATCGTTGACTTTCCATTTGTTTTTTCAACTATAAATAAAACCTCTCTTTTTTGAATAACATGTAAGTTTTTGATATCATGAATTCAAATTCCCATATGCCTTTCTCTTCTGATTTCCATTCAAGCTCCCTACTTTACAACCTATCAATTTTGAAGGATAAACTCCACCAAATCCAATCGGTTGTCTCCGTCGTCGTCTACGACTTCCAAAACTCGACCGAGTCCCACCCACGAGACTTGTCGCAGTTACCGACGGTCAACTCTATGATCCAGGAACTTATCATGGCTGCTTCTTCCATGTTGTTCACATGTCAAGAGATGAATAACTTCGCTGTGAACTCGTCGTTACATAACGATGTTGTCGATAATAATCTTCAAGGTCTCGTTGACAACGACAATCAACCTTCCATCGCCCTTCTCGACGTGGCCAACGATCATCGCCATCATCAGAACTGGTACTGTTGAACATAACTTTTTGTATGAAACACTCAATCTAAAAAAGATTACAAGGCACTTTATAGAAACGAATGCATTGTGTTTTGTATTTGACAATTAGCTCATACGATTATTATTTTAATAGGTACAACATGACATCTACTACTAATAACGACGACAACGACAACAATAGCAATAGAGTAACGACAACGGAAACAACACAAGATTATCGAACTTCGATCAATATTGTTGAGCTAGACGCGACGGATCTTCTTGCAAAATACACCCATTACTGCCAAATTTGCGGGAAAGGGTTCAAGCGGGACGCGAACCTACGAATGCACATGCGAGCACACGGCGACGAGTACAAAGCGAGCGGGGCGTTGAGTAACCCGGAGAAGAGTCATAGAAGGGATATGAACATAAACAAGAAATTAGGGACTAAATACTCATGTCCACAAGAGGGCTGCAGATGGAACCAAAAACATGCCAAGTTTCAGCCATTGAAATCACTGATTTGTGTGAAAAATCATTACAAGAGAACCCATTGCCCCAAAATGTATGTCTGCAAGCTCTGCAGCGGCAAGAAATTTTCAGTTCTATCAGATTTGAGGACTCATGAGAAACATTGTGGAGACATGAAATGGGTTTGTTCTTGTGGCACCACATTTTACAGGAAAGATAAGCTCATGGGTCATGTTGCTCTGTTCGTCGGGCATGCCCCGGCAATCAGTTCGTCGGTAAGAGCGTAGTAACTTGCGGCCGATATGTTACTATGAGTTTATGTTTGTTCTTATTTAATTTGATGGATTCTGTATGATATATGTTGTAACTTGTCACAAAGATGTATTGCCAGTAGAGTACATCGAATGATATCAAAACATTGATGGTGGCATTACTGACAAATTGAATCAAAGCTTCAAATTACGGCAATTGAGGTATTGGTATTGTTAAAGAATTAAATTTACATTATGTGACAACGAGCGTAGATTATGAAAGAGAGAAATTGTGACAGGTAGCACAACAAGTGATATCAGAGTACCAAATCAACAACATACTCACACTTACCATCAATTAAAGATAAATTTCTCATTACAAACTAAATTATTTGTTCTTAGAAATCATATTTTCAAGATATTGCTCTGATTGTAGGGCATGTTCCGGCTCAGTTCATCCGAAAACGCTTACTAATATGTAATGGCCTTAAGTGTTTACGTTTGTTCTTATTGAATTCGATGAACTCTATGTTATATAACAAAATTTGCATTATATAAACCGAATTTCATTAAATTAAAGAAGCGAATTCAACGATTCAGAACAGACAAGCCGCATTTTTACACACACACACACCAAAAAAAAAAAAAAAAAAAAAACCCCC